GGGATGGGGGCACCTGGGTGGTTCAGTTGTTAAGCATCTGCCTTTGGCTCAGGTCATGATCCCAGGGTCTTAGGATTGAATCCCGCATTGGGCTGCTTGCTCAGCGGGAAGCCTGCTTCTCCCTCTCTTGCTGTGTCTTTCTCTGTCAAATAAATAAATAAAATCTATAAAAAATAAAAATTAAAAAACTAGAGATGAATATTATTTTTTGTATATCAGTAATTGAGTTCAGTGGCTTAAGCAAGATCAGGGCCTTATATTTCCTTATGTAACAAAGAATCCTAGATAGTTCAGAGTTGATGTAGTGGCCATACAATGTCAGCAGGGACCCAAGCTCCTTCTGGGTGTTCTCTCCCATCCGTAAGTTCTTACTTCATGTTCCCACTGTGGCCTCAGGAGCTCCAGCCATCCTGTCCTTATTCCAGGCAGAAAGAAAGGGAAGGACAAAGGGAAAAAGGCAAAAAGGCCAAAATCAGACATGTCGCTCAGTGACTTTTATTTATTTTATATATATAACTTATATGTTATTGGCCGGAACTGTGTCATATGACAATTCCTATTTGAAAGAAAGCTGGGAAATGTGTTTTAGGTGACCATATTGCTGCCCCAATAAACTGGGACTCTCTGTAAGGAAAAAGAATGGATACCGGGTAGGCAGATGATCTCTGCCATACCAATTAAATAGGTATATTAAGAAAGCTTAAAAAACATGGGCGCCTGGGTGGCTCAGTGGGTTAAGCCGCTGCCTTCGGCTCAGGTCATGATCTCCGAGTCCTGGGATCGAGCCCCGCATCGGGCTCTCTGCTCAGCAGGGAGCCTGCTTCCTCCTCTCTCTCTGCCTGCCTTTCTGCCTGCTTGTGATCTCTCTCTGTCAAATAAATAAATAAAATCTTAAAAAAAAGAAAAAAGAAAGCTTAAAAAACAAACAACAAAAACCTCAGTTTTTTTTTTTTTTTTTTAACCAAGCTTTTTATTTTAATTCCGGTATAGTTAGCATACAGTACATTTGGTTCAGAGGTACAGTGTAATGATTCAGCAGTTCTGTACATTACTCAGTGCTCATTGGGATAAGTGTACTAGTCTTTCTCTTTTATCTGCATTTTTACTTTAAAGTTACATAAAAGGAATATAAATAAAATAAGTCCCTAACTTCCTGAAGTATGAAGGGAACATAAAGATCATATAGTCCTGACATTTTAGCTTAGAGGTAATTAGTGACTTGTCTTAGGCCACAGACATCAGTTCCAGGCTGGAACTGAAGTTCCTAACTCTGACACCAGTCACTGGTCTTCCCATTTACTGGGCTGCTTCATAAAATCTGGTAGCTCACTTACTACTCTCCTGTGTACAAGACAGCTGTGGTTTGGGACTACTGGGGAGAAGACTCCTCTGTTCGCTTCAGTGATTACAATAAAACTGATAGGAGGAAATTTCATGTTCTTATATGAGGGTGTTATGTTTATTTTGTAAGTGTTGATGGCCCTGCCAGTATTTATATGTTTATTAATTAGTTCTTTTTTTTATTGTTTTTTAAAGATTTTATTTATTTATTTGACAGACAGAGATCACAAGTAGGCAAAGAGGCAGGCTCCCTGCTGAGCAAAGAGCCCGATGTGCGGGGCTCAAATCCCAGGACCTTGGGATCATGACCTGAGCCGAAGGCAGAGGCTTTAACCCACTGAGCCACCAAGGCACCCCTATTAATTCATTCTTCATTTATTCATCATTAACAATGGCTTATAAGGTCATAAGAGCAGGGCCATATCATGTTAATATCTCTGTCCCCAACTAGGTCCTAATTGAAGAATGAAAAATTATAGTCCCTTATACTAAAAGTTTAAAAATAAATAAAAAGTTTAAAAAATTATGGTTCCTGTCCTCAAGGAATTCTCAGTCAAGTTTGAGAGACAGACACAAATGGCAATGATAATAGTACAGAGATAAGAGATGATAGAAATACAAGTGAAGAGTGAACAAGTAAATAAATATCTGAGACTGAAAGGAGGTCTATAAAGACTTCAACAGGAGGTGGTCCCAAGTTCAGTTTTGAAAGGTTTTCCAGATGAAGAAAGAAGAGGGCTGCATATCACACCAAAGAACAAGTTTTTTGTTTATTTGTTTGTTTTTAAGGATTTTGCTTATTTATTTGACAGAGCCAGAGAACATAAGCAGAGGGAATGGCATAAGGACAGGGAGAAGCAGGCTATACACTGAGCAGGGAGCCCAATGCAGGGCTTGATCATGACCTGAGCCAAAGGCAGATGCTTAACCATCTGAGCCACCCAGACCCCTCCCCCCCACCCCAGAGAATGAGTTTTTAGAGGCCCAGTGGGCATGAGAAACTGTTAAGAGAAGAGGAGACTGCGAGAAATATGGGAAAAACCCATAGTAGTAGGAAATGAGGCTTGAGGGGTTGACTGTAGCCATGACCATATCACAGAGACCTCATAACATGTGAAAGGTTTTGAATTTACCTATTGATGGGGTGCCATGGAGGTTCAGATGTGTCCTTTTGTATGGCCACCTGACATTACAGTTAGACCTTGGCACCTTAGTGTGGAGCCCACCTACAGTGAGGCACCACTTTTCACTCACAGCTACAGATGAACAGGACAGACTAAACCATACATCAAGATCCTTGTTCCTCCCCTGCTCAGTTTTCCCCAGGATCTCCCCTTTATCAAAAACACACTTGACCATTCTGATCACATACAGACTCCTCATGTCCCAGTTTACTTTTCTTGCCCATTATGTTTTCCTCACTGTTACCCAGCCAAGGACCCATAACAAGTGATTCTTTTTGACCTCTGACCAATAAAGAATGGCTTACTCCTGTTTGGTAGATGGTTATCCTTACGTGCCCAGGAGGCTTAAATGGCGGAATAAACCAGACATATCTTTCTTCTTCCAAATGGTGAAATGAAGGGCAGTATTTCAGGAATTTCAGACAGCCAGGAGACAGATAGCCAGCTCCTAAGATTTGGTTACAGTCCTGGCACCTGACCTGGCCCACTCATCCTTGCTTCTGGTCTGCAAACTGCCTTTGCCCCTGACCCCAGGAGGCACCCCCTAGTGGCTCTCCTCCCAGTCCAGTCTCCCTTCCCTGCTAAAGACTTTCCTTCTGTAGCTCTTAATTCTCTCCTTGGACTCTGAGTTACGTTACTTGTTTTCCACTGCCCAGAAGAGGATTGACTTCCTTTCTGTGACTCATCCTAGAATGGACCTAAACCTTTGTTGGTTCTGCCTTTAGTAATGAAGTTTCTTTTTTTTTTTTTTTTTTTTTTAAAAATTTTTTTTTTTTTTTTTTGACAGAGAGATCACAAGCAGGCAGAGAGGCAGGCAGAGAGAGAGGAGGAAGCAGGCTCCCCGAGAGAGCAGAGAGCCCGATGCGGGGCTCGATCCCAGGACTCGGAGATCATGACCTGAGCCGAAGGCAGCGGCTTAACCCACTGAGCCACCCAGGTGCCCCAGTAATGAAGTTTCTGATGGCAGAGGGTAAAGTCAGAAGTGCATCCTCTTGGTTAATACAGATAATGCACATATTTTATTATTTTTTTAAAAGATTTTTATTTATTTATTTGACACACAGAAATCACAAGTAGGCAGAGAGGCAGGCAGAGAGAGAGAGAAGGAAGCAGGCTCCCTGCGGAGCAGAGAGCCCCATGTGGGGCTCGATCCCAGGACCCTGGGATCATGACCTGAGCCAAAGGCAGAGGCTTTAACCCACTGAGCCACCCAGGCACCCCCACACATTTTATTATTAAGAAATTGAATAAACCTCTCTTTGTGACTTTGGAAGTAAAACATACCATGAAAAGGCTCACCTCTTTTTTTTTTTTTTAATTATTTATTTACTTGATAGAGATCACAAGTAGGCAGAGAGGCAGGCAGAGAGAGGAAGGGAAGCAGGCTCCCCACTGAGCAGAGACCACAATGTGGGGCTCTATCCCAGGACCCTGGGATCATGACCTGAGCTGAAGGCAGAGGATTTAACCCCCTGAGCCACCCAGGCGCCCGTAGGCTCACCTCTTTTTTATTGCTTGTTTTTTTTTCTTTCCCACTTTTTTTCTCATGCAAATATTTTTAATATATATTTAAAATTTTTTTATTTTTTTATAAACATATATTAGCCCCAGGGGTACAGGTCTGTGAATCGCCAGGTTTATACACTTCACAGCACTCACCATACCCCATACCCTCCCCAATGTCCATAATCCCACCACCCTCTCCCTACCTCCCTCCCCCTGGCAACCCTCAGTTTGTTTTGTGAGATTAAGAGTCTCTTATGGTTTGTCTCCCTCCCTTCCTACTCCCCAAACCCCCCACATTGCATCTCCACTTTCTCATATCAGGGAGATCATATGATAGTTGTTTTTCTCCGATTGACTTATTTCGCTAAGCATAATACTCTCTAGTTCCATCCATGTTGTCGCAAATGGCAAGATTTCATTTCTTTTGATGGCTGCATAGTATTCCATTGTATATATATACCACATCTTCTTTATCCATTCATTCATGCAAATATTTTTTATGCAGATATTATTGTAACAATCAAGGAAAATAACAAAAATCTTCTCTCACAGCCATAAAGCATCACTTTTTTTTTACTTTTACCTGTATTCTCTTCCAGTCTGCCCATGTGCAGTGATATTAACTAGTTTTTTTTTTCATTAAAAAAATTTTTTTTAAGATTTTATTTATTTATTTGACAGACAGAGATCACAGGTAGGCAGAGAGGCAGGCAGAGAGAGAGGAGGAAGCAGGCTCCCTGCTGAGCAGAGAGACCGATGCATGCCTCGATCCAAGGACCCTGGGACCATGACCTGAGCCAAAGGCAGAGTCTTTAACCCACTGAGCCACCCAGGTGCCCCAACTAGATACAGTTTTGAAGTACATTTCTTTTTTATGCCACATGATCATAGTTCAAGGAAATTGAAGTAATAGAGATATGGGAATATCTTGGGTAATAATGGCTTCTTATTTTGATTATTTCCCTTTAGGAAGGACACTGCTGATCCTGTAACATGGAGGATTGCCTTCATACTTCATCTGAGAATCTGTCCAAATTGGTCAGCTGGGCCCACAGCCATGGGACCATTTGCAGCCTTATTCCAAACCTGAAACACTTGCTTTCGGAAGGTTCCCATGGGAACCTCACAGCAATGTGGGGCTGTAGTGCTGGCCATGCTTATCACTGGCCACTGACAGCTACTTGCAGAGCTGGGTCCCAAGAAAGGGTCTGTTTCCAGGATAACAGAAGTTTTAACTCTGATAGTCCCAGTATAATTGGAGTACCCTCTGAGACACAAACTAGCCCTGTTGAAAGGTATCCTGGGAGACCCGTGAAAGCGAAGCTAGACTGTAATCGGACCAGAGACTCTTGTGACTTCTCTTATTGCAGTGAACCCTCTGAACTGGATGAAGCTGTAGAAGAATATGAAGATGAAAACACCCTGTTTGACATGGTTTGTGAGTCTTCTGTTACAGACGAGGATAGTGACTTTGAACCCCAAACCCAAAGGCCTCAAAGCATTGCTCGAAAAAGGCCTGGAATAGTCCCATCTTCTCTCCATTCCAGCTCTCAAGCTCAAATGGTTGATGAATGCAGCAATGATGTCATCATTAAGAAAATCAAACAAGAGATTCCTGAAGATTATTACATTGTGGCGAATGCAGAGCTGACTGGAGGGGTAGATGGACCAGCCCTTTCATTGACACAGATGGCAAAACCCAAGCCTCAGACTCATGCTGGTCCCTCCTGCATAGGGTCTGCTAAGCTGATTCCCCATGTGACATCTGCCATTGGCACAGAGCTAGACCCACATGGTGTGTCTGCATCCCCCTCTGTTATGTCCAGACCAATCGTCCAGAAGACTGCCAGGGTATCTCTGGCTTCACCAAACAGAGGACCCCCTGGTGCCCATGGTACCAGCCAGCAGGTGCCCATGCAGATGCCTGTGAGCACATCCCATCCTAACAAACAGATCAGCATCCCTTTGTCTGCACTGCAACTGCCTGGACAGGATGACCAAGTTGCTTCTGAAGAGTTCCTGCCCCATCTGCCCAGCCAGGTTTCCTCCTGTGAGGTAGCTCTTTCTCCCTCAGTTAACACAGAGCCAGAAGTGAGTTCCAGTCAGCAGCAGCCCCCAGTCGCTCCAACCATAACCACTGAGGCCACAGCACAGTGCATACCAGGTATGGCACATGAGGTGACAGAGAGTCCCTCATCCATGCACATCAGAGAATTCTGCGCCGTCAGCACTTACAAAACCATTGGCTCAGTTTGCTAGGAATCAGGCCTTTATTATTCTCAGAAATATAGAAATAATGAAATATATTCTATCCAGGTAATATTCTGAAGGACATTCATCTGAGTTAAGGCCATCCGTCCAGTCAGTGTACCTCAGGGCTGAGAGGACAGCTGTAGGATTGTGCTGTTAATATTGCATGGCTAGATTTAAGGTTTATATTTGATCTTAAGCTGAATAATTTTTATTTTTATTATTTTTTAAAAAGATTTTATTCATTTTAGGGAGAGAGCAAGTAAGTAGGGGTGGGGAGCAGAGGGAGAGGGGAGACTCTCAAGCAGACTCTGTGCTAATCACAGAACCTGACGCAGGGCTTGATCTCATGACCCTGAGACGTGACCTCAGTCAAAGTCAGACACTTAACTCACTGAGCCACCCAGGTGCTGCAAACTGAATAATTTTGGCATATTAATGTTACCTTTGAAAAGAATTTTTATGCTCTCCTATCAGTACCAAGGTATTTGGTTGCTATTGGAAGCCAAAATGACATGATGTTGGGTGTGTAATGACAATAAAACTGGTGCTTTTCCATTATTATTTATTTGTCTGAACCAACTTGGTCTTTCTGTTCATTTAGTTGGTGTGGCAGTTTAGAACAAGTATTTTAAAAGCAACAAATAATTCTAAAAGAAGTATTTTATCTTTTATCTCAAAATTTATTTATTTTTTATTTTATTTATTTTTTTATTTTTTAAAGATTTTATTTATTTATTTTACAGAGATCACAAGTAGTCAGAGAGGCAGGCAGAGAGAGGTGGGGGGAAGCAGGCTCCCTGCTGAGCAGAGAGCCCGATGTGGGGCTCGATCCCAGGACCCTGAGATCATGACCCGAGCGGAAGGCAGAGGCCTTATTAACCCACTGAGCCACCCAGGCTCCCCTTATCTCAAAATTTAAAAGAGTCTGATAACTTGCTTTCCTGGAGTACATGGGCGTAATTGGAATGGACTGAGAGGAGAGGGAAATAATTGTATGAGACCTCTATCTAATTTTGACATTCTAATGTTCTCTGATTCTAACATGTAGTATTTATTAAATCTGGGCTATTATTATATAAAAAGGGTTTGGATGTCATGCATTTGGCTTCATTATTCAAATATAATAAGCCAGAAGTAGACATGGACAAAGGTGAACAGATATACAGAACGGAGTTTATAGAAAGCAGAAATTTGTGGCACGTTTTGGTTTGTTTCATTTTAATCCCTCTCAAGGAAGTCATGTATTTTGGAAAAAGTTTCCTAGAAGCCTGCAGTACCTGTGCCTTTACCCAATTTATGATTTTGCTGACACAGTCATGGTATTATTAATAAACTATACAAGGAAAATATTCATATCCTGATTCAAAATAATGCTTTTCAGTTTATTCATTTTTCTTTCTTTTTAAAATAATAGCTTCATTGAGATATAATTCACATACCATAAGATATACTCTTAAAAATACACAGTTCAGTGGTTTTTGGTATATTTACAGAGTTGTGCAATCATCACCACTATCTAATTCAAAGCACTGTTTCCACCCCAGAAAGAAACCCGATACCCATCAGCAGTCCCTCTTTTCTTCCTCCCAGACCATCAACCACTGATCTATTTTATGTTTCTATAGATTAGCCCTTTCTGCACATTTCATATATGTGGAATCATAGCATGTGACTACCTTTTTGCACTTAGCATATTTTTTTCTTACATTGTAGCAATGTATCAGGATTTCTTTTTATTTCCAAATAATATTTCACTGTATGGATATATCATAGTTTGTTTTTCCTTTTGTAAGTTGATGGACATTGAGGTTGTTTCTATTTTTTGGCTGTCATGAGTAATGCTGCTGCTAACACTCCTATACAAGTGGAGGTATAACTTCATTTCACGTGGGCAACTACCTAGAAGTGGAATTGCTGGGTGTATGATAACTCTAACTCTTTGAGGAACTGCCAGACTTTTCCAAAGTAACTCCACTATTTTACAATCACCAGCAATGTAAAAAAGTTTCCTGTTTCTTAACATGCTGACCAGTATTTGTTGTTTTCTATTTAACAAAATGATATTTATCCTGGGTGCATGAAGTAGTATCTTATTGTGGTTTTGATTTCCACTACCTTAGTGATTAATGGTGTTGAACTTTTTAACAGTATAGTCTTTGGCTAATCCTAGCATAATTTAGACACATTTTCATTAGGCTCATGAAGGCTCGTGAAGGTCTTTGTACTAGGTAGGAAATCTGACTCTTAATACATATAGAATAAAGTAGTGGTACCTTTTCACTTAAATAGATAGTTGTATCTGGTTTATTTGTGTCTCCCCCACCATTTAAAAAAATAAAATAAAATAGAAGACTTTGCCTGACAGTTTTCTATATTCTCATTTATTTTATATTAGAGGGTAGAATACAGAATTGTATTTTGCAAAGTGGTTCAGTATACCAAAACAGCTTAGTAAGACTGTTGTATCACACATCCTTCCATGAACTTACCTCAGTATCCTTCTACTAACCTACTGCAGCTTAGTAATACTGCTGCGTTACTTCTTCCACTAACTTAACCCAGATTTCCTTGCGTCTGCCTAGTGGTCGGTGAATCAAACACCAAGACTCTTTACTAAACAAAATATGAATATCTTATTATATAATTGTTATGGAAAAGAAATTCAGCCTATTTGAAAAATATTTTAAACTGTTTATTTTTTGTATAGATTACATTCTCTTAGGTTTTATTTCTTAATAAAATTACACTCTTTTTTTTTGAAATTGCACTTTTTATGATAGCTATAAAAAGCAGGTATGGCCAAGTACAGCACATAGTTAATACAGTCATAGACTGTGATTTAGCTGTACTCTTGCAAAGAGAATTGGTCTGGCTTAGAGTTGAACTTTTAAGGAAAAACAGTATGAAGAACTGATGAGAAGTTCCTAAGGAATCATCCTAATGTTTTGATCCATTGTTCTTTGGAAGGATATTTATTATATTGCTAAAATATTTTTAGCTTTAAAGAAATACTATTTTAGGGGTGTCTGGGTGGCTCAGTCATTAAGCATCTGCCTTTGGCTCAGGTCATGATCCCAGCATCCTGGGATTGAGCCCCACATCAGGCTCTCAGGAAAAAGGAAGGAAGCCTGCTTCTCCCTCTCCCTATTCCCCTGCTTGTGTTCCCTCTCTCACTGTCTCTCTCTCTCTCTCTCTCTCTCTCTGTCAAATAAATAAAATCTTTTTTAAAAGAATACTACTTTACTAGAAACATCACTGGAACAAATAAAACTCTCATTGACATTTTTCTTTCATGGGAGTTAGACAAAGTTAACTTAAAATTTACCTGTGTTCTGTAGAGCTCAAATTAGCCTCTGTGCTCTTAACAGTTTTGTTTTGCGTATTTACTATTGTAGATAGTCTTCATTCTAAATATAGATTTTTTTTTAAATTTAGAATTACAGCACATCCAAATGTATGTGAATGAATATGTACAGATGGTCCTTACTCAGTTAATATAGAAAATATACTTGGGACTAAGCCAGGAAGAAACCTTTTGAAAGAACTAACTGAAAGCAAAATCAGGTGCTCTTCTTAAAATGATGTTGTGTAAGCCGGGTCTTTATCAAATCATTATAGAAATACTGCATATTTTTGAATAGTATTTTTTTTTAAATAAATATTCTGACAAATGACTGTTGAGTAAACCAGAAACAAATTTTTTCATTTTGTTTAGTTTTTACTGATGCTGTTTAAATTCTGTTCGCCTAGTGGAAAGTCATCCTTATTTATGTTCAAAACTAAACTCACAAAATGATAAAATGTTAATCAAGGTATGAATAAAATTATTAATTTTCATGTCAGCTCTCTTATGCTTTTCATCCCAAATCTTAGCCAATAGTAATGAGTAAAGAGGACATATTATTAGAAGAATTAATGACTATTTCCCCAGTGGCTTAGATTCCATTACATTTTGAGGTTATTAAATGTAAATTTAGGGCATTTGTCATAAATTTAAATTTCTATTGCATTCTGAGTTGGGTTTTTATGTGTATTTTTTTTAAACATACACACATACACGTGACTTCCTTTATGATTTTGTGCAAGGACCCATTTTATTAATCAGCTTTTCCCCAGAAATTTTATAGTAGCAAGCAGTCAACTTTTGCTTATCAGATTTGAAATATATATGTTTTTCTTTTGAAAATACACATCTTTAAAAGATAAAAAAATGCATATCTTTAGTTCTAATAAATTATATGTATTCATTATATATTAAAAATATTAACTCCTAGTTTATTTTGTGTATTGGAAATACGTTTCTCTCTTTACCATTAAAGTAATTTTGATGTAATTAATTTTGTTGATGGCATATTTTTGAGATGAATTTTCTTAATTTTTATGAAGGTTATTCCTTTCAGCCTCTATTTAGCTATCATCTTTCCCACGTTTGGTTATTTTGCTAAGGAAGTCCTTTCCTTCCCTTGAATCTGATAACTATTTACCTGTGTTTTACTCTGGTTCTTTTTTGGTTTTCCACCTGCTGCAGCTGCCCCCGCCCCCCGGAGTCTCCTTTCTTTTTTTTTCTTTTTTTTTTTTTTTTTAATTATTTATTTATTTGACAGAGAGAGAGAGAGAGGTCACAGTAGGCAGAGAGGCAGGCAGAGAGAGAGGGGGAAGCAGGCTCCCCACCAAGCAGAGAGCCCGATGCGGGGTCCTGAAACCAGGGTCCTGAAACCAGGACCCTGAGACCATGACCTGAGCTGAAGGCAGAGGCTTAAACCACTGAGCCACCCAGGTGCCCCTCTCCTTTCTTTTCTTACATTTAACTCTGAAGTCAGAGTAGATTTTGGATTGGATCCTCACTTCCTTATTTTTGCAGTAGTCAAATGTTCCAGCTTCATTTATTGAATAATTCCCATTTATGCGTAA